TTCTAACCACCTGAGAGAGAGCAGGAACCTTCCAGGACATTGCTTTGTGTTTCGCCCAACAGAAATACCCCAGGTGGATAATTTTTACAATCAGGAGCTCCTCAGTTGCTCACAGCAAATTCCACCACAGAGTTTACAAAGACTTATGGCTAGAAAAGCCACACTAAGTAATTTACTACACTGCAGCTGTGTTACCCTCTGGGGCTGTGAGAGAGGGGCTTTGGCCCCAAGAGACATAAAACAAAAACTACAACTAGTTCCCATCAAGGTAATTCACAGTTGTTAAGATATGAAACCACAATGCCAGGTGGCATCGCACAGCCAGTCCCCTTTAGCCATGGGTCATAAAGGTCCAGCAGACATGGATATGAGATCTGTGCACAGCCAGGGGTAGGGGGAGGAGTGGCCAGATGCTAGGAAGTGCTGCTGTTTATGGTGCCAGAAGCCTCAGGCTCCTTGGAAGCTGAAGTTAGCTTCCAGATGGCGGTGAATCCCGGGCCTCCCTGGAACAGTGGTAGCCACTTACCAGATGCCTACTGAGGAAGAACCAGCCCTTCAGACCCTGGTCATTGACCAAGAACCAATGCTCTAATTAGGAGCTTGCACTATAATTTTAGAGCCAGTCTCATGGCAGAACTAAGTGTTAGCTGATCTTGATGAATCAATTGTGTTGGCTTCTGCAGAGGCTACGCCTTGATCTTCCTATAATAAGGCAGACCCTTCTGAATAGAGGCTAAAGTAGATAGGAAAGTGCAGAGCCCTCTTTCTTCCATTTTCCTCTTCCTCACCCTTATCTATGTCTTCTCTTGTGACTTCCATGCTATCCACTGTTGGATAAAATTGGCCTTGCACATCTATTGTCTCAGACGTTAAAAGTGGTATAAAGTTCAAGGAAAACTGTACTGTGTCTAGCCTTTTGACAGACTGTACAAAAACTTTGTCCCCTTCACTAATTTAAAGCCCTTGAGATCTGTTCCTGGACAGCAAGGCTTTGCCAAGCATTTTGTACTTCTCTCCACAAATCTAGTTGCTTTTGCCCTCTTACAGAAAAGCCCACTTGTCTGGAGTTGACGGGCAGGTCCTGCTGCCCTGTAAATTTATATCAAGGGATTGAGATGTTTTTGATAACGTTCTTCTTCCCTGTGCTTATGGCAGCTATTCTGTTTTGTTTTTTTTTTTAATTGTGATTTAGGGGGAAGTTTACAGAGCAAATTCATTTTCCGTACAATAGTTTATACACATTTTATTTCATGACGTGGCTTGCAATCCCACAGTGTAACAGCCCTCTTCCCACTTCCTCCCTTTGGCTCCCTTTTCCTTGTGTCCTTCTTCCCTGTGCATTCCAGCCCCCTGAGCTATCTCTCTGTGCAAATACCACCCTTCTCATCTCCCATGCTTGATTGTTCTAAGGAGTATACACATACCTGGTATAAATGTTCACCCTGTATGCCTGTCTGTCGTTGGCTAGAAGCCATGGGAGTGAGTTCAATTCCAGGCCCAAAGAGTGACTAGGGGCCATAAATGGCAGCTCCTCTTTCATTCAAGAGGCTTGGGGGGTGGGGAGCACACATCACTCGCACCCATATACAATGCTCAATAATGGCCTGGAAAGCCAGGTGCCTCAGTGCATGTGGGCCTGGGCTCTTTACTTTTTTTTATTGTATTTTTGGTGCAAGTTTACACAGCAAATTAGGTTCCCGTTTAACAAATTCTGAACAATTTGTTCATTTGTTATATTCTTCAAAGTGTGGCAACTTTCTCATTATTTCCTTTCTGGTTGTTCCATTTCCAGTAATCTAGTTTCCCTGACTCCTTGCCTCTCATCTTTGCTTCAGAGTAACTACTGACCATTTGGTCACATACAGATGATATTTTAAAGGATCACAGGAGTCATGGGTGATACTGTTTAGCATCTGGACTCCTGTATTGCTCAATTTGTGGTGCTGCTTCCTACCTTGATTTGGTCTTCTATTATCTGTGTATGTTTATATTGGTATGGAGAGGGGCAGTCTTCTGAGTCTTTGTATGTAGCACTTGTGTATTCAGTATAAATAGACCCAGGGCCTTGTTAGACTTGGAACATGTTAGGCTAGATTAATCCTAAACTTCACAGAATGTTATAGTCCTAAATGGACTATAGAGCTGTTTCCAGAAAAGAAAGGCTAAGTGGCTTGTTTGACGTTAGGCAGCTACTGTAGATCCAGGATAACAATTCTGACCTCTCTACCTGCTCTGCTGTATTAAACATTTAGACCACAGGCACAAAGAGCAGCCTTGTTCCTGCCTCAGGTGTAATAACTTATGGGAACTCTTGTGCTTTTATTAAAAAGGGGTTGATTTTGTGGAATTAACAGGAAAAGGGTATTCATCAAAAGCTCAAGTCTCACTCCTACCGGCCCATCCCCTGCCCGCCCCATGCCTGGCCTTCCCCA